AAGGGACGAAACAACTGGAGTTTTGTTAGAGTGCGTCGAGATAGGAGGAGAAGTGTCAGTCCTTGGCCGTTTGCATGGTGTTCGCTGGGGTCCACCTTCCCTCGCCCCTGGTGTCCCCGTTATGGTCTTCTCACCTGGCGTCTCCGCATTCCCGACAGCCCTCCGGACACTTGGTTTTGCTTCGGGAGAGCACTTGTTGTCATTACGGTTTAATAACACGACGTTGGGGACATGAGAAGCGCGGTCAGGGACCGAATATTGTTGTTGTGTGCCCAGTTCGTTGTTCCAAACGGCCTGGCGTCTACTTCGCCGACTGGGCACCGGAGTCACAACAACAGGCAGATTGTGCGATGCCGGTTCCGCGAACGTCTTACTGTCCGATGGGGACTGGGGTGCCATGGAGATTAGGAGTGCCGATGCCGGTGAGGTATCAGCTACAGATAGGGGATAGCAAAGCACAAAAATGAGTTCAATTAATTAGTGTAAAAAAACGACAGTACTAAGTCAAAACGCCAGTTCAAGCGCGAGGTAATAAGGCTCATAAGAGCAGCAGGGGTGCGTTACTGATATAACGCCCATATATACAGTACGTCTACGAATTCGTGCAAAGGTCATGACGAAACTGGTCTCGGCAGTTTAGCATATGAATTGAGGCAAAAGTTCGCAACCCACGTATGTGTATAGATCGAAAAGCAGAAGCCGTATGGAGCACCGGAATTATAGTTTTAGTAGCCTGAGCTTTCGAACCCTTCCGGGAGTCCATCTTCGGTTTAGCACATACTCGGTCACGTTATTTTGATCCACTGAGTAGATTTAATCGTGAGAAAGCCCTTTTAGTTAGGAAGATTGTTCAGTTTACAAAAGGTAATGGGCATTAATTTTGGCTGAATCGGGAATAGCCTAATATTGAGTAAATTTCCTACGAAGTAAGACAGAACCAAACTTCTTATTAATATACATTATGCTATGGGAGCACCACAAAATGAGTAGGAGAAGTTTAGAACATATCCCTTCCGGAACCGGAAAATTTAGTCCTAAATTGCTCTAATGTAAGTCAAGCCAATTTTAAAAAAATCGCATTTATTTTCAGAGACAAGGAGCGATTTCAGTTTTAAAAACTATTTTTTTGCTAAACTTTGGAGTTTTTGCCACAAAATGCAGCAACGAAAAAGTGTTGACCGCGTTTCGTTTTACCGCACCAAATATTTGGGACGTAACCAAAACTGTCCATATATTATCGTGAAGGTGAAGGTAAAAGCAGACCTTATTAAATTTTAATCACTTAGAAATATACTTTTTTGTGCAATATAATTTCCGCTTATGCGTAACTTAGAAACGGAATGGACAGAAGATTAGTACTTACTAGCGCGGAAGAGCGGCTTCGCCTTGGGCTTCCTTACATGTTGTTGTCCGCATGTAAGCCTATGGGAACATTGATACTTTGCAACTGTAGTTGACGTCGGTAGTCTCCCGACACATCATTTCTGTAC